TTTTATAGGGGAATTTATTTAGTTTGCAACCTAGGTTATAAAATATATAATTTTTTTATGTTTGTGTTGATTTGTCGCAAATACTTGTAGATTCATTGCAATATCAAAATGCTTTATAAAATAGAGTTCATTTTAGGTTTGGGAATACCCCTCCAAAACTTCTGAAATTTACCGATGGCAAGATTCCGATAATATGTATTACCAACAAAATTTCGAGATGTCGCATGTTTTAGTAGTGATGAATCCCATCTTAGGCACCTGCAATTATATTCACTACATATTAAAAAGCCTTTTCTAAGTAATTGAAAATGACATTCTTTATCAAAGTACTATGGTGTTGTTGTCAAGTTGAGAGACTGCCCTTGTTGTCTCAACACGACTAGTCCAGTCGTGCTGAGTGGAGGGCATCGAAACTTTCTTAACTTTTATTCTTAACGTCTAAATTAGGGAGAGCCGTGTATGACAATTTGGTTAAATGTTGCACGGCACTCAACTTTCAATGGAGTTGTATTGGAATCACTCATATTTAATTCATCCAATTAAGTCATCCGTCAACTTCGGTTTAAAAATATCGTATATCGGGATATGAAAATGATACAAGTATTCATCCTAGTCCTTTGCATTCTTCGTCGCTCACTCAATGACAAAAAAAAAATAAATAAATAATGTCAGGAATAAGAAATATTAATGGTAACATTATTGGTTCAAAAATATTGCTGAGAATAATAGTTCCATGCTTTGCACCTCACTTTAATTCCTCCATTTTAAGACACATACACTTCACCAACTTCATTGTTAGTTCAACTCCCCATTTTGTTGATTTTAACCATTCAACTGCCTCATTTCAATATGTATAAAAATGTTTTATTTTATACCTTTTTTCTTATTGTAGTTGATGCTAATAACGACTAATAATTTGGATATGTTTAGTATACCGAATTAAGATTATGCCATGTTTGGTAGAAATTAAAATCAATTTAATCTAAGTTAATGTCAATAATTAATTTTAATCGCATATTTTATGGATCCTACAACTTTTCAATCACACATTTCATTAACTTCTATCAAAATATACTAAAAATCTGATTTCATCCCCGTCAAACTGGAGCTAAAGAAGAAGAAAAAGTAAAATCTTTCATTGAGTATTGCACGTCAAGTCTTATTACATCTAACAACTTGCCTTTCTTAATCTTCCAATGAATATCGATTAAGTATATCTTAGCTCACAATTCGAAATCTTCCAATGAATAAACATGAAATATTTGTATTCGAATATTACATGAGATAACAAACTTAGCTCACAAGTCTAATTACATCTAACAACTTGCCTTTTTTAATCAACCACAGCTTAAAAATAATGACAATTAACTAATTTCCACCTAATAGTGAAATTATCACGCTTAAGGTAGGGTTTGGTAGAATTAGTTTTCACATTAATTCATCAACTAATATATATATTAAACAACTAAACCAAGAAGATTATTGAAGTAGTTAGTGATATATAATTCAACAAACTCTTCACCAAATATGCATAATTACCAGCTGCGATTAAACATATGTTTCTCTTGCGTTGAAGAAATCAAATATAAATCTTTCATAGTAATTTTAATTATGTAATTATTATAAATTCTCTCCATTATATAAGGTCGTTTTTTAATATATAATTTATAGACATAAAACTAATATAAATGCTTTTATTATTTTCAGTG